AAAGATGCCCCTAGAGGATTTGAACTTGTGAGGGCGATGATTGAGGGAGCGGCGCCGCTACCGACTGAGCCACGCGGGCAAAGAAAAAGCGCACGCCCGATTGCATACATAAAGGCGAGGACGACAGCTGTACGCAGAGTGACATTAAGCGTTGTACACCGTCACGGTAGAATGCATACTCTAGCTACAAAAAAACTACGAAAAATCTCCTGTCCCCCCACCTTTAAAGTTAACATGCGCCCAAAGTTTCATGCACCCAACGTTTAAAGACTCATATCTCGAGAGCGGGCAAAGTTATCAAAAAGTGTAAACTGCAAAGTTGATGAATATAAAATTTTACAAGTTTTTGTAGTTGACCAATTATTTCTAGCTACCGTAGTTACTGAGATATGCGCCTTTAGAGTTAACGCGCGCCGACTCTTGAATCGATCGATAAGTAGAACCGCATGCAAAGTTTAAAGACGTATATCTGAAGAGCGAGCAAAGTCATTAAAAAGTTGTAAATTGCAAAGTTGATGAATATAAAATTGGAAGCGTCTTTGTCGTTCACCCCTTCTTCATAGCTACCGAAGTTTTCGAGATATGGTCCTTCATACATTAGAAGCACGCACACAAGGCGAAGAGATGCAGGCAAAGTTTGAAGACGCATATCTCAAGAACGAAAACAGTTATCAAATTTTTGTAAACCACAAAACTATTTAAAATTATAGTTTATACATTTTTTGTCAACTTTTTGTTAGCTCTTACAGTTTTTGAGTTATCCGCCTTTGAAGTTAACGCGCTCGCACACGAGGTGGAGAAATGCACTCAAACGTTGAAAGCGCATATCTCAAGAACGAGAAAGGCTATCAAATTTTCGTTAACCACAAAACTATTTAAAATTAGATTCTACATATTTTAACAGTTATCCACTTTCAGTTAACTTTTACGGTTTTTGAGTTATCCGCCTTTAAATTTGACGCACCTTCACACCAGCCGGTATACTTCCCAAAGTGGCCGTTGACGTCTTCTCAAATGCTCCAACCTCAGCCATCACATTGACTTCGTTGACGGGACCGTCAACAAAATATAGGTCAACTGCCACGTAGTCCACCTCCTCATCATCATCGTTCTAAAATGTTGTATTTCAGAAAGTGCGCTCTATTGACAAAGATATCGCAGACACATAGAACGAATCCTAACTAATAACTTTAAGCCTATTTATCTCGGTTTCTGTAAGCGATATCAAAAAGTAATAAACTAATAAAATGTTTATCATAATATCAAAAATGTTTTATCAGTTTCCAAAATTTTGATATCTTTCATAGTAACCGAGATAATTGAGCTGAAAGTTGACAGTTAGGGTGCCGTTCTATTAGAGTGCTTAGAGTAACTCTAAACCCTTCTAAGTAGGTCAAGTAAAGCATCTAAAACTTCACTCACCACCTCCGAGGTCGCATGAATTCTGATATTCCATTGGAACGAAATCAACTGGTGTACGGTAGCGAACTTTGGAGAAATCGAGAGGATCGTTGCCTCTCCATCGGCAGTTTTTCGGGTTTTTAACTGGAAAATTTTTAAATTTGTTTTTTTGAGAGTACTGTAGCTGTTACCTTTGTGGTCCATGTGTAGCAAAACGAGATATTCGTGGCATTTGATGATATGGAAGAGCCGGATATGGATGGGGAGGAAGGTGTTGAAGATATACTCATAGGTTTGGGCTGAAAAAAATAGCCTTGAAGTTTTAAGCAAAAAGAACTTTAAGGGCGCAAAGAACAATTAATGGGAAAACAAAAAAGTATAGTGACTTTGATAGACCGCAACTTTCTTCAGAATCGTAATTTTTGATAAATTCAAAATGTAAAATGTAGAGCTTAAAAAAAGCTACAAAATGGTATAAAAAGTTATATGCTTAAATCGAATTTCCAAAGTTTAGATAAACCTAAAAAATTGGATAGGTAGAAGCCCCCTTATACCGTAAATCAACTGCTAACTTTGAGCTCATTTATCTCGCTTTCTGTGAGAGATATCAAAAAGTGGTCAACGGATAAAATGTTTATCAGATTATCAAAAACGTTTTGTTTGCTTGCAAAATTTTGATACCTTTAAAGGAACCGAGATAAATAAGCTCAAAGCAGGGGTGACTGAGCTACGCGGTTGGCGCTGCTGGCTGCGCATCCAGTATGCTTGCACACTTTGAGCTCAATTATCTCGCTTCCTGTGTAAAATATCAAAACGTTGTCAACTGATAAAATAACACAGATATTATGATAAACATTTCACCAGTTTACAAAATTTTGATACCTCTTACAGTAACCAAGTTAAAGTTGATCAAAGTTTGTATCCTATTTTTTTATTGCAAAGAAAGTTACAGAATGAAATATTCCACCAAAAACAACAACTCCAGTAGTCAGTATTCACCTCTATTCAAATAAATAAAAACTGGAATTTCGAATAAATTCGATAGGGTGCTAAAGAAGGGGTCGTGAGCCCCCTGGCCAAAAACATTGAAATGCAAAATAGGGAATTAGTGAAGTGGAAAACGCGAATTGAGTCTCTTCTGGAAAAGAGAGAGAGAGAGAGAGAGAGAGAGAGAGAGAGAGAAAGAGAGAGAAAGAGAGAGAGAGAAAGAAAAGAAGAGACACGTCCCGACTTCAAGCCTATAATTTATGTACATCCTTCCCCATTTTTTTCCAGGAAGACTGAATTGACCTTGTTTCAGTTTTTTGGGGGAATTTCGTTGAAATACGGTCCTTTCACTTTGAGCAAATTTATCTGGGTTACTGTAAGAGGTATCAAAAAGTGATAAACTGATAAAATACTTCCAATAATATGATAAAGACTTCATTAGTTGATCACTTTTTGATATCTTTCACAGGAAATGAGATAATTGAGCTTTAACAATTGGGTTGAAAAATTTCAGATTTTCCTAGAGTTTTAAAGAAATGTTGGCTCTTTTCTAGTTTAACGGTCCCAAAAAAGAATAGAGGTCCCAAAAAAGTTTAGAGGTCGCAAGAAAAAATAGAGGTCCAAAACTTAAAAATGCACCGATGCTGGAATAATGTACGAGAATGTGAATTATGTAAGAAATTAAAGTTTTGAGGTGTTATAGCAAAATAATTGTTGATGACATAGTTTATACTTCTAATAGGCTTAGGAATGCATATTTTCTGACAATTATCTAAGCCTGAGAGACATCATAATCACGGAGTCATTACTGTATTGCCGAAATTTTCCTCATATGTAAATTGTGGTTCATCAGCAAGATTCAAGAGAATTGGAAGTTAAATTGTTAGGAGCAGTCATATCATCCTATAAGACCCAAAACTGAAACTACTCACACATTTCAAATACTAGTATATTATTTCAATATCTGTGCGTTTTTTAAATTTTGGGCCTCTATTTTTTCTTGGGACCTCTAAACTTTTTTGGGACCTCGAATTTTTTGGGACCTCTTTTTTATTTTGGGACCTCTAATTTTTTTTCGGACCTGTAAATTGTTTTGGGACCTCTAAACTAGAATAGAGCCGAAATTTTAAAGGAATTTCTGAACTTTGGATATTTGAAATTTCCTGGAAAATCAGATTTTCCAAATTCGAATTTCAGCATTTCTAAAAACAAAAAAAGAAATAAATTTCCAATTTGCTGTTTATCCATTTTTTGGAGCTTTTTGATCTGAAAAAAGATTAAAAAAGAGGGAAAAGGGAAGAAAAAGACGAGGAGGTGAAGAAGATGAAGTGGAGAGCAATTTATATTCAAATAAGATAAACATCTACTAAAAAAAAGGAGAATTCTGGAAAAAAAGGAAGAAAAAGAGAGCAAAAAAATGGATAAATAGAAGAAAATTCCAGAAAGAAGTTCAACGAAAATCTGAAATTCGGAAACACTCAATGGTTTTTTAAAATGGTTTTAAATTTTCGAAAACTTGAAGACTAAAATTTGAGGAATTCGAGAAACGAAAAGTTTCGAAAATTTTAGAAATTCAGTTATTGTTGTAAATAGTTCAAAAATGTGGAGATTTCAAAAAAAAATCCGAAAGTTCAGAAAATAAATGAGAGAAAAAAGTAGGGAATTCTGTGAAATTCAAGGAACCAGGAAATTAAAAAAAATCGGAAAAAGTCAAATATGTGAGAATTCAAAAATTAAACTTGAATTTTCAGAAAATCCAGAAATTCGCCGTATTTCAATTTTTTAGAGTTTAAAATTATTTCCTAAAGTCCAACGTTTCCAAATTTCAATTTGCGGAAATTGGAAAACCAAGACATGGTCCATGAGACAAAATTTCCGGATTTTTCAAAGTTCAGAAAATCAATTTTTTTCAATAATTGTAATTTTTCTATGAGTTTATCTCTGTTTTATTTTTTGAAGAAAGCAAAAAGTGAACATTTTAGTGTAAAAATAATAAAGAAAGTCGTTGTTCTTTTTTTTTTGACAAATAACAAAAACAAATTGAATGGTGCTCTTTGAAGATTTTTTGCTTTGTTTTGTGCTAAAAGAACAGCTGTTACACTTTGAGACATCCGGACAAACATACATAAAAAAGTTTTCGGTTTTCAAATTGAAATTTTTCAAAAATTCAGCCATCGGGAAAATTACAAAAAGCTAGGATTTTTTGAAGTTTCTTTGAAAACTCAAATTTTGAAAATAAATGAAAAACAGGAAAATCAATCGGAATTTTTGAATTTTTTGGAAGGTTTTGGAATGTTTAGGATTCTGATTTTTTGATTTTAGCTATGCATAAAAAAATAATTCCAACACAACAAAAAAAAAAGAAAAAAGATAGAAAAAAGCACATGTATATGAATGAAAAAATAAATAAAGAACGGTGTTGGAAAATGTGATTTTTCTCTCTCTTTTTTCAACATAACAATAGCCAATATATAATGGTTTTTCTATTCTTTTTTTCCGTTTTCCTTGACTTTTGAGATTCAAGAAAAAAAGAAGAAAAAACGGAAGAAAGGGGACGGAAAATGAAAATTGAGCGCAATTTTTTTATGAGGTTCTGGAGGAGATTGGCAAAAATTGTTGGAAAAACCTGCAATTTTTGAAAAAAGATAGATTTTTAAATCTTTAAAAAGCTCAAAACATTAAATTCAAGAATTCAGGAATTCAGAAATTTAGGAATTCAGAAATTCAGAAATTTAGGAATTCAGAAATTCAGAAATTCAGAAATTCAGAAGTTCAAGAATTCAGAAATTCAGAAATTCAGAAATTCAGAAATTCAGAAATTCAGGAATTCAGAAATTCAACAATTCAGAAATTCAAGAATTCAGGAATTCAGAAATTCAGAAATTCAGAAATTCAGAAATTCAGGAATTCAGAAATTCAGAAATTCAGAAATTCAGAAATTCAAGAATTCAGAAATTCAGAAATTCAGAAATTCAGAATTTTTACTTTTCAAATCGAAAATTTTCAGATTATAAAATTTCTCAAGTATTGGAAAATCTTGAAATTCAAGTGGCCAGTTTTTTTGAAAATTTTCATTTTGAATTGAAATGAAAATACTGAAAAAAACCAGTTCTTGAGAAAAGGAGAGGAAAAAACAAACAAAACCAAAAATGTTGACACTTAATTGGTTTATTTTTCGATCCAATTAATCATTTGGAATTAGAAATTTTCGAGGTTTTCAGAATCAAAGAATTTCAGACAAATAAAAACATAAAATTCAAAATTCCCGCACATATTTTTCCCTTTCCTCTGCCTTCTCTGCGTCTCTCACTCTCTCTCTCTCTGTGTGCTCTTGTTTCCTATGGCAACCCCAAAGAGGAAGAGGGCCCTTTTGGGAAATTTTCGGAATTTTCTTTCTTTTTGGAATTTTTGATTTCTAGAAATTTCTTTAAAATTCCAGATTTCGATTTTTCGCTTTTTTGGATTTTTTGATATAAAATTTCAGAATTATTGTTAAAATTTTAAAATTTCGAATTTTCCGATTTTCCCCATTTTTAGGTTTAAAAGCTTCAAATTTCACAAAAAACGACATTTCCAGAATGGAAGACGTCACACTTCACCATTTCAGATGGCGTAAACCAGTGGAGAATAAAAATGGAGAAATAGTATACAAAACGTCGGAGACGCAGACAGCGGAAATTAGTAGAAAAGATGTAGAATGTGTGGCGAATTTTCAAAAGAGTCAAGAATCCCAAACGGACGATTTTATGCAAAATGGAGTTGGAGATGGGATCAAAAAGGAGATAAGGATCAGTAAAGAGGTCAGAGTGGGCGGGGCTTAGTAGGGAGGGGGCGGAGCCTAATTAGCTATTTTTATGGTTGTATATTACTTTAAAGGGGGACTCCGACCAGAAATTTTTATTGCATTAAAAGGTGTTAAAATTTATCTATTTTCCTAATATTATTGCGAAAAAATTCAAAAAAAATCCGAAATCCCCGAAAAACGGCGTTGAAAAGGAAGAAAATTCAAAAAAAGGTGCCGCCGGGGGACGAGGATTTTCAGTGAGAAACCTAGGCCACGGCACCTGACAGCCTTTTTTCAAGTCGCCGACAGTGTTTTTGCCGGACATG